TTTCTTCTTCTTCTTCTCCTTCTCCTTCCTCAAGTATTTGCTGGTACGTAGAAACCGCCATTTCTAAAAAGTGGAAGACAGCTCCCAAAGAATCCTTGCCATTTTGTTCTCTTTCTTTTAATTTTTCATATTCCATTTTTAGTTCATCCACAGATGGTGCCATTGTAAATTTTTAAGAACAACCCAGATGTTTTTGATCTTAAAGTAATTTCCAAAAGTCAAAGTTATCAAACAATCCAAACAGACAGAAATTATTTCCTCTTCTTCTCTTTGCAGTTTTTCCTCCTGGGGCAAAATCCCAAATATATTTTAAAGCCGTATTACAGTTAGTTGCTGATCTTATAATCTTCAAGGCGTCTCCTCCAACAAATTTTTAAAGATTTTTTTTGGTCCTCTCTTTCCCACTTATAACAAAGAGCTTATTTTTACCTTAAAGAAGCAGGTTTTTCTGTGCTCATTTGCTTTCTCCGTAAGGAAGGGGAGTGAACTTTCCTTCAGCACTTTCGCCACTGTAGCAAATTCTTTTGGAAACAAATGTATCAATCCGAAAGTCAAGTTTCCAGGGTATTTTAAAAGTAACTTAATGTCCCGGTTCAGCCAAGAAAACTTCTCCTTCTGGTTCTTCCTCCTGCACAATCTTATCCGGTTGAAGATTCCTTTGTGGCTGCCATTTCTGACAGCCACTCCACCCCCTCAGGAAAAAGGAGTCTAGCCGGCTGGGGAAGGGGGGTGCGATATTCCCAGACCCCTGCCCGGATCTCCTCTGTCTTCCGCTGCCCCTTCGGGGTAGCGACAACCCCCAAATCCAGTTGGATCGGGGGTACCTCAGCGGCGAGCGCAGCAGGGACCCGCAGAGAAGCGGATTCCTGCCACCGCCGAAGCCTTACAACCGGAAGTTCCCCACTATTTGCTTTTATTCACACGCGCGCACACACACACACACACATTCCGTCCTGTTTTGAAAGTTCAACTTTTTATAAGTAATATATTGAGTAGTATCTTTTGAAGGAAAGCAGTGCACACGTATCACTAATATCTACAATAAAGCCACTTCATGATTTGCCAGAGTCAAATTTTCAGATTTACACATCCTAACAATTTCTTAATAGTTCACATTTTGCCTGCCATGGCTTTATTGTATGCTATGGTAATACTGTTCCAAAATTTGAGACCAGGAAAGCTATTTCTGAAAGTGCCCTATTTAAGGTTCTGAGGTTGGGCTTATTTTTATCTAAGATGAACTCTGTGATTAAATATTGGACTAATAAAAATATATTTGCTCCTTCTGGCATTTAAGTGAGGGCATTTTTTAAAATTTACTGTGTGATTTTATTTTGATATTTCAAAATGTCTCTAAATATAAAATACATTTATGATTGGTTTACGTTGTTGAAGTACACTTTTATATTATAATCTTGGAAAATTAAAATGGTTAGTACTAGGAATTTATACAAAAAACTTTTTTGCCTTCTGACACTAATCTTATTTTACAAATGTGTTCTTATAATGCAGAAACAGTCCTTCTGGTTTCGTTGCTTTTATATATTGATCTGGGGCAAGTTAATGCTTTACAAGTACGTTACCTGTTGGCTAGTGACGGTAAGCCTGGAAGTTAGCCAATTTATTTCTTTTCTTAATTTGGGGCCACCTTTATTTTGAAAAAGACCAGCCCAGCTATTAAAACAATAATATATATACTGAATAGAAAAATCAATAAAAACAAGTAACCACAAAACAGATCTGTTAATTTTCAAAGGCCCTCGCAAGAGAGAGGCATCTTTACAGAGAGTGAGTGAAGGGCAAACACAGTTCTCAAGTGATATTTAGGCCTCTATTACTTGGGCAGCCAAAGCAGTTCTAGCTAATTTAACCTATTCAGAAGTTTAAAAAAAATAACATAAATCCTTTAAACTGTACCCAGAAAGCAGTTTGAATTTAGTGCAGATCTAGTACCAGTTTACATCATTCAGGCACTTTTCAAGATTACTTCCACATAGAATCTATTATAATAGTTCAAGCTGTGGGGAAAAGTAGCTAAAGAATCATTGTAGCTGGTAGGTTTCCTTTAATTGTTCAAATCTATGCTCCTCACCACAGCTGCCACAGGTGGATGCAGACCAAGCTAGAGATCTCTTCTTTCAGGGAGATAGGCTGGGTCTCATCTCTAGCTTACTTCACTACTAATTAACACTGGACTTAATTTTAGCTTGTCATTCTTCATCTAGCCCGTTATCGTGTCTAGCCACTAATCCAGAACATTGAATATATTTTCTAATTAGGTTAGATAGAATAATATCTAATTGGCATAACTTAATAATCCTATGTTATTTTCATTCCAGGAAGGAGTTTGCATCCTAACTGGGCTAGGCTACAGTGGAAGGGATGAAAAGGGATTACCACTGTGGGATGCTTGTGCCAACATGAAAATCTGGATGTTTGAGACAACCCCTTATTTCACAGGAACCATTGCCTCCTTCAATACGAACACCAACAACTGGTTAGCCCGGTGAGCATAACTTGGCTGTTTTCTGCAGAACAGTTTGAGTCAGCTGGAGAGCAAGAATGGAATAGGGCTGGCTTGGGGGTGGGATTGAGTTTGGGGAAATAAGGTGATTTTTGTGTGCAAGGCCCGAGTGAACAATTTGCAGCATTTTTCCCAGAGCATTTTTGACCACTACTACAGAAAATCAGCTGTAGGTCTCCCAGGGAGTTTGAGCAACATAATGCACAAAAACAGAAAATTCCCAAACTCACTCAGTCATATGATATGACTCTGCCCTTTTGCATCATTGCCCAACCCATTGCAGTTTGTAGTCCTCTAAAAAATGTTAAGCCTCCCAAGATTGCTGTTTGGCTCAAAAAGCGGAGGATATACAGCTGGAGGCTTAGAAAATTGGGCTACTCAATGCCTAAAACGGAAGTAAGAATTATTGTTCCATGATGAAAGAAACACAGCTATAGTCTCCTCACACTTCCGCCAAAGAGAGAGATTTATTGTAGGAATTATTTTGACTTAAGAGCAAGGAGCTATTCAGAGCACTCAAACAGTATCCCTGATTTCTGGTATTCCCACTGAGGACCTTTTATATTTGGAAGTTTTAGTAAACCTCTCGTATACTCACACCATTCAAAGTAGAGCCTGCTAAATTTTAATATTTATTTTGAACAACCCGAAGTTAAAGAATAAAATGTTGGCAGTTTCTTGGATGTCTTTGTTAAGTGTTTTATTTCTGAAGAAACAGAATAATGTTGACGCTTGCCCTGACAATATTATATTTCCATTCCTAGCTATATATACAAACGGCTGAAATTCCTGGGAAACAAGTTACTATCACAAGCTTTATCTTTGCTTTTCCTGGCTGTCTGGCATGGGCTACACTGTGGGTATCTAGTTTGCTTCCAAATGGAGTTCCTGATTGTCGCTGTGGAGAGGCAGGTGAGGACCTTTTAGAGTTGTCTTAGATAATATTTAATATCTGGATCCACTTTAAAAAAAAAACGTCAGGTGAGTGCATTATAGATTGACAAAATTGTACTGAGGCATCCATGGGCACAAGGAAGAACAGGCAGCCAGACGGATAAAACCTGTGGTGTGTTTGTAAGCCCTGCTTGTTTTCCACATGCAGCATCGTACTTATGCTCAGGGGGAATGGAACCTGCAGTGTGACGCTGCTTTCATTCCAGTGAAAGGAGCAAGGTCAGAAGCCCATAAAGCTGCACTTGGTTCATTCAAGAGTTCATTCAATTAGGTTGTTTCAGAGTACATTTTAGCACGTGGATGAATCCAGTAATTATTACAATATGCAAGGACTCTTTAAGTACTGGAAGTTGCTTTTGAGTTTCCTCAGTGGCATTTTTATGCTAAGTTGTTAAGTTGAACTCTTCTTAAGAGAATGAAATAAAATGTTAAGTCTGTGCATTTCAGTGCGTGGAAGACATTAGTAAACCTAAATCCATTCAGGAAAAGAAATAAAGAAATGCAGATTACATTCTTTGAAGTGGTTGACAGCTGCTACACATAGGCTTAGGGAAACAGTCTCTTGATGAACCCAGGACAATTTCAAGCTGAGCAGTTCGAGGCTGATTGGCAACTTGTGGTAATTTATTGAAATACCAAACGATTGTTGAAGCAACTGCTCCAGTGATATGGGAATAAGCTCACTGAAGAGATTTTTCTGGGAGGAAGGAAAGTAAAAAATGGGTAAGCAGCACAGAGCCATGTTTTGTTTGTTCATCTGTAAGCTTAAAGCTTATTATGTTTTTTGTAATTACAGGCTATTAAACTGGTAAACGACAGTCCATTTCTGTCTGCCTTGGCTTCAAACATCATCTTGAGGCCCTTTTTCTACTTGATTCAGCAAATTATTCACTGGATGTTCATGGGATATTCTCTAGTACCATTCTGCCTCTTTAGCTTGGAAAAGTGGATTAAGGTACTAAGAGTCAGATTGTCTAGAAGAGGGCATTTCCCCTCTATTTACTGGCTGGAGAAAGACACAGCACACTGACTTCCTCATCCTTTTTTGCAGGTGTACATGTCTATTTATTTCGCAGGCCATGTGTTGTTCTTTACATTGCTGTTTACATTGCCTTATTTCCGAAAAATATTTGTGCCACGAAAAGAAAAGTTAAAGAAAGATGAGTAACGGCCAAAAGGTGAGAGAACTATTCCTGACTAATCGCTAGCATAGTGGCCTTGGATGACACCTAGTTGACTTATTTTGCTTTTCCTTTCAGATTGTACCGTGTGTGCATTTATTACAGGATGGTTGAAGCATCACCTGCCAAATTTGCTGTGGACAAACTGTATTACAGTGACTGGGGTTGAAAGAGCACAGGGGTCAAGACCCCAAACCGAGGGGAACAGGCTGCAAAGCTCTTTACCCTTTCTACAGGTTGCCTTATCTCAACTTCTCCCCAGACACTTCCACCTCTGCAGTGTCAGATGATTGTAAAGCACTTGATCCAGCTGCCATCTAGGAATGGAGCACCTGCCTGACTTTTTTTACTTTCCAATGCCACTAGATAAAATTGGTCCAAGCTGGTTTTTCATTATTGCTTGAGCTGCTTCTTTTCACCAGATTTTGGAACTGGTACTGTTTTTTCTATTCTTACTGGTGTTATTTGTAGCTTATGGTAAAAATGAGGAACGTAGTTAAAGATGGTATTCTGATTTATCAGAGATTGACCTTGTCTTCCTGGATGCACATGAAGGTTGCCCACTTTATCTTCACACCTTGTTCTTGTGCCTTTAACGAAGTGCACCACAGCAACCGAGTACACTTCTCTTTTTGTACAGATGATTGCTTATGTACAATACCAATCTTAGTACAGTTTCAGCAGTGGTGAGTACACTTTAGCCAAAATGTTTGCTCTAATAATTTTATTTCTCTTGATTGCTTGGAGCAGATAGTCACAGGCATCTTCAGGAGGGCAAATGACAAAATAGTATGCATAAATTGGCATCGCTGGGACTAAGTGAGACTATCTCTGGAAACAGTAATGGGATTGCTGTTATTCAGTGGTCTCTAGCTTACAAAGCTGGTTATTCAACTAATTTGCTATATAGTTCATGGGAATTTTATATAGCAGGGAATTTTTTTTTAGACTGGAGATACAGGTGAAATGACTGTTTTGAGACTTGCCAGTTATATGTGACTGTCATGACAAAAACATAGCAAATCACAAAGGAAAATTAGTTTCCAGAAAGTTTTCTATAATCCCAGAGGAAACTTTAAAGGGCCTAGATATTGATATGAAGTAAGATGCTACAAGCTAGGACTTTGTGCCATACTAGTTTTGTATTTTTTTTATTAAAATAATTTTGGGGAGGAAAAAGAGGTGAGGTGGGAAACCTGGTGAAAATATAGAGCAACTATTGCTAACCATTAAGAGTTGTGGCGGTGAGAATGCAGTATTGCAGGCTAATTCACAGCTCACTGCCAGGAGTTCAATCCTGACCTACTCAACATTGACTCAGCCTTCCATGGTTGGTAAAATGAGGACCCAATTTGTTGGGGATAATATCCTGACTCTGTAATCCGTTTAGAGAGGGCTGTAAAGCATTATAAAGCGGTATATAAGTCCAAGTGCTATTTGCTAGTGCTATTAAGTATCACACTCCTATATAAAAAAATTCTTTATTTACTACAAAGTATTGATGTATTTCCCATAAATAAGGGTATAGTACATAACATTTACAATATAGAGTCTGTTGGACCAAATCATAGGCTACGAATCTGTAAGCAAAACAGGAAGCTTATACCACTCCCCACATTTCTTCAAAAGCTGTGGTGATTTTAGCACAAGTCAAAGCAGCAGAGAGTGGATAGTTGCTGATAGAGATGGTCTTTTCTGTGTAGTCAACATTAAGCTAAAGGAGAAAAACGGCAGTTAAGTTTCTAAAGTACATAGGTTACATTGTTTAATACCTTAGGTGAGAGTGTAAGTTAGAAAAAATGATCTAACTTTCCAGAAAACAAATTTCTGTGTTTATAACTCTCTATAAATTGGTGCACCCAAAAAAGTCAGCTCCATAATTAGTGGCTATTAGCTCTTTCCCACTAGTATTCCCACCCACTTTATAGAAATATACCAAGTTTACAGCACCCATTCTTAAGACACTTAATCCAGTTCTATAACAAGAGCCAATATAGGTAGTCCTTGACTTAGACGATTTGGTGACTGAAGATACAACTGTACTGAGAAAAATAACATGACTGTTTTTCACACTTAAAACTGTTGCAGCAGCCCTATGGTCATTGATCAAAATTCAGCGCATGGCAACTGACTCATATTTATGACAGTTGCTGAGATCATGTAACCACCTTTTGCAACCTTCTGACAAGCAAAGTCAATGGAGAATCCAAATCCACTAAACAGCTGTGTTACTAACTTAACTGCAGTGATTCACTTAACAAAAGTGGCAAGAAAGATTGTAAAATGAGCAAAACTCAACAAATGTCTCACTTAGCAACAGAAATGTGGGGAGGTCAATTGTGGTCGTAAGTCAAGGACTACCTGTATTATCTTTGCTCTCAAAACCTCAATTAAGGTGGAGATAACTTGAAATAAGAGAGAGCCTATATGCAGGCCTTACCGATCCATGAGCAAACGCCCCCACAATTATGGCTATAGGATCTGCAGTAGGGACTAGGTCACGCATGTCTGTCACCTGAGGGGCTGAGAACGAGGTGCCTATTTTTGCACAGCCCACAGGGAGGTGATCTGTCACTGGGTTCTTGATCACCTACAGAAAAAAAGCTGGATTAAGCTGGTAATAGAAACATAATTAATCTTCTAAAGAATCATAGTAGAATTATTACCTTTAACAGCTTTTGAGGTCCATCGGCAGCTCTGACACTAAACTTATGCAACAATTGAACTAAGGAGAGACAAAGAAACATTGAGAATACTGTTACTAACACATACTCTTACTTGCTTGCAACAATCCCATACAAGCACTGGTTTTCAGAATATTGTCTTTTCCCACAAACTAATGCATAATTCGTGACCTACTAATTAAATGACCTGACAGGGAAAGCTAATATCCATTTATCACCCCCAGAAAGGGAAAGTGATTTAATTTAGCACATATGATACAAAATTACCTTAAACCAGATGATGGCTCTCTAGCCCCAGAGGTCAGCAACCTTTTGGACCTCAGGGAGCACAATTTTAAATCCCGTGTACCACTAATATGAATCCTGCATGCCGCTCACTGAAGCGCCTGGACTCCCCATGACAGGATGGGATCCTTCGGGCACTTAGCTTGACAGCCTGTTTCTGCAACTTTAAACACTCAAAGAGCCATTTGGACCCGTTCTCCAAACAAAACACTAGGAGCTACAAAACCTGGATGGGGGTGCCAACTCGATATCACTCACTTCCACCCAGTCACATGACACCCCCCCCATCCATGCCTACCCAGTTTTGTTGGTTCAAGTGTTTTCTATGGGAAAGAGGTATCTCTCAGCTCGTCTGTCTGTCTGTCTCTCTCTGTATTCTCTTTGTTTCCCTCTGTCTGTCTTTCTCATTCTGATTCTCCAGCACTATCTGGGCTTCACAGATGCTTCTTCGGCCTTTGTTGGTGCTGGACACACCTCAGTTGCTCAGGGAGACGCATAACCTGCTCTCTGCCCATGAGACACTCGCCCAACCTGGCTGCGGCTGATGCTCCGTGTCAATGCTCCCCCATTGTGAAGCACACAAAATTTAACTATGCTGCGCAAGAGCAGCGACCAGGCCATGGAGGCGCCAACAGCAGTAGTGGAGAGAAAGGGCTGGGTCAGACCAGTGTCTCAGGGCAGAAAGGAAGTCGTGCATCTCCCCGAGCGACTAAGGTGCGCACAACCCCAAGAAGGGCAAGAAGCACCCATGAGACCCAGCAAGAGATGAATTATAGGGGCACTTTGCTCCCGCTCTGGAATATGAAGCGAGTCTCCATCTGCCGCCGTCACCCATACTTTTTCAGGCTAGTCAAGGAGTGACTGGGAGGGAGGAAGGGGCCAACCACTGGTGGGTTCAGCCAACAGGGAGCCACAGCAGGGGGATGAAAGAGCCACGGGTTACCACCCCTCATTGCTTCGGCTCACTTGTGCCGCCACCCCACCTTGCCACAACAGCACCATTACCTCATTCTGGCTGGCGAGGGCTGCACTACACCTTGCACGTTACACCACTGTGAAGTTGCATGTACCATCCTCTATGGCGGAGGTTTCCAGCCCCACCACGAGCTGCCTGGCTAGTCCCATATTCCAGAGTTCTAGTCACAAGACTGGCCCGTTGGTCATTCCAGAGCCGCTCCACCACCCAGGTACGCCAGAATGTTCTTGTGGACCATCAGTGGTCCACAGATCACTGGTTGGTACCCACTGCTCTAGCCTTCTTACCAGACCAATGGACTGACAAAATGCAGATTCATACAGAAAGCCAGGTTGTTTATCCATTAAGAAATTGAATGAATTCGCATTTGCAATGTAAAGCACAGGTGACTATAAGACTCGGGACCATATATGGAGCCTTGGACCCTTTTAAACAATGGTGCCACATGACAAAATGTTAATTGTCAGGATTGACAATGATATCAATGAAAAATAGATGGAACATAATCATATCCATGTATTTCATTAAATTATAATTACATGTAAACTATAGTGAACTTTACCAACTTTTTATAGTTTCAACCCGCAGCATAATTTCAACCTTTTGTTTGTTCCTCTTTAAGATCTTTTTAGGCAACCCCATATAAACATTCTACAAGGTAGTGTGCATCTGTATCAGTAAAAGAGATCCCAAACTAGACTAGTTTAATAGTCTACAAATAGGGATGTCAAACTTGATTTCATTGAGGGCCGCATCAGGGTTGTGTTTGACCTGGGGGGGAGGGGGGTTGGCAATGGTGGGTGTAGCCAGCTCAACATCACTCATCTTGGGGGGGGGGGGGGGCACCTGTAGTGGCAAAGTGCTAAGAAAGGACTTCCCTGAGATCCTCCCTCACTGATTATAACCTTCCTTCCTCTTCCCTCTTCATTTTCTTCTTCCTTCCCCTCTTTCCTTATTTTTCCTACTTTGCTCTCTTCCCATCTTTCTCTTTTCCTGTCCCTTCTTACATGCTAACTCTGTAAACCGCTTGGAGAGGGCTGTAAAGCACTATATATAAGTGCTAGTGCTATGCTCAAATGCAAAAGGGGAAACATTTCTCCTTTTGTTTTTAGTTTTTTTTACTAGCCCTCTGCCAGTGAAAGAGCTTGGGGGGGGGGGGTCACGCATGCCCCTGGAGCTCCATTTTTGCTAGCAGAGGCATCGTGGGGCAGTCTTTTGCTGTTTCCATGCTGGCCCCACAAGCCAGATCTAAGCACCCCGCAGGCCGGAGTTTGACACCCCTGGTCTTACAAAGATCCACAGACAAACATTGCTCAATCAAACATTGCTTAATTCAGGGCAGTGTATCTTAGTTGTATTTCTTACCCATAAGACCACAAAATCGATCAAAGGTGCGAGGAATTCTTGTCTGTGGATTGACTTCAATAAGAACGTTTTTTTCTGTATGAATATATACTTGGAGAAGGCCAGCTCGATTCAAAGGGCTATCCATAAGCATCAAGAGACTCTAAATTAAACAATGAAAAATCATACACTTGCCTATTTAAAAAGCAAAATCTAGGAAGTATGTCTCAGAACAATTCAAGACTTGTAAAGAATATTTGAGAAAAAGCAGTGCCTCAAAAAAGTATTTGTATGTATATATATATACACACATATACACACACACACACATATATAAAAACAAAGAAACGATAGTGAGAAAATAAAGAGCATTTGTGACTTGATTCAAAAATAGAATTGCCAGCATTAGTTTCTTGCCTTTTCATGAATGTGATTTCCCAATTAATATTTCAGAAACAGAGGTGGGCCATAAAACTGGATTTAAATATGCATAGAATACCTGGTGGGCGATGTCTGGTCGAACTCCTCCAGGGTCTCTGCCATTCCTCAGAAGCAAGGATTTATGCTTGTCACAATTAAGCAATTCATATGTTTTCCCAACCTTAAAACAATAGAAGTGCCAAATTAGGAAAAGTTCCCTTCCATACTACTAGATAAACTTTTCTATGTGGTTTTTGAATGCTGATTCTACCCCTTTGGTTCATGAGCAAGACACATTTACCCTATGTTCGTTCTCTATGACACATCTTACGGCACTCTCCATAAATTGATTTTGTGGCAGGAAATGGCACTTTTATTTCTCAACAGAATTTCCCTTACCTTATCAGCGCTCTTAATCTAACACAGTATTTTCAGAAACTAAGACCTCTGCATCCCACACTAAGTTATGACCCTAGCGACACCTATGCATAAATATGTCAATTCTGGTAAGAGGGCTCCATATGACGAGAATTCCTCCCCACGGTTCTTCTTCTGGACACCTTTTTTAAAAAGCCCTCCAAATACGTTGGGATTACAATTTCCAGAATCCAAAGTGACGATTCCGGTGGCTGCTCTCACCCCGCACGTGGATATGGCCAGCTTGGGAACTGTTGGCCACAGGATAGGACAGGATCTTTGTACAGATTAAAATGCCAACGTATTTCAGAGAAAGGTGATGAAGCCGCTCCCGCCCGCCCCGAAGGAGCTTTTGACTTTGGCGACTTTTTCGAGTTTAAAGCCGCTTCTCCCCCCGGACCCTCCTCCGTACTCTCTTCCCGAGGCTTACAAGTTTGCCCAACGCTCTCTCGGACCACAGTGGCCAGCAGCGCCTGCCCGCACCTTGACGCTCTCCAGCGACGCCCCCTCCAGGATCACCACCAGCCGCCTCTTCCCGGCGCGCCGGGGATCAAACCCCGCATCGTCCGCAGAGCCCCGCTCCAGATGGGGACGCTTCCTCACGGGGTCCGCCGCCATCTTTAAAGCGGCGAACTCGCGCTTCCCCCCCCCCCCCCCCCCGCCCCCCCCCCCCCGGGCTCAGTGGCTTCCTCTTCCAGGGTCAGCCACTTCCTGTTCCCGAATGGGCCTTTCGCTTCAAGGCGCTCGAGCAGCCCCAGATGGAAACAAAGCCCCGCGTTGTTCGCACGGGCTCACGTCGCATTTCCAGAGGGGCCGAGCCGCAAAATGACGAAGCGCCAGTAGGTTTCCGGGGCTCGAGAGCCGTTAGCTGCCTCGGGTCGCTCGAAGGCCGCACGCTTTGCGCCAGGGGAAAAGCCCTTCCGGCCGCGGCCGCCTGACCCGGAAACGCTTTTTCGGATCCCTCAGTTTCCTGTGTCCTTCTCTCCGGCGCGGGCGGCGGCGTGACTGGAGAACGAGGGTGAGGGCTGGTCGTCCTCGGAGGCGGCTGCCGTGAGGTTTTTCTGAGAGGAGCAGAAGCGTTTTTAGAGCCCCCTCCTGCTTCTCCGAGGATGAATTAATTCCCTTTAGTGAATTCCCTTTAGGGCAGCAGGCATGTCGGGGAAGGGAGCGGCTGACCGATTCAGTGCTTGAATGAGACCGTTCAAACAGGGGGGGTGGGGCTGTGGAATGGGGGTGGGGGGGGGTTATTCATGATTTAAACAGCTGTGCTGAAGGAGGTGGGGGGGGGGGGGCTGATTAATTCGTTTGCCTTACCCCGGGGTGCGTGGCTTTACAGAGACCTGCACGAGGCGATGTTCCTTAATGCAAACCTAGCAGTAAATAAAGAAGGGCTGCTTTATCATAACATCTTGTTTAAATATATATATATATATATATATTATATATATATATATCTAAGGACGTTTATCATGGGTCTGCATAAGTGGTTAGAAAGTTTTGGCGCTCTTGTTGGTGTGGCTCTCAGTGCAGAATTCTTTACTCAGGGATAATTGCATACATAAAATGCTTGATGCACACCAGTCCCCCTCTCCCTCCAAGCTTTATCAGAAAGAAATCCTGCAGAATTGTGTAATGGAATAATTGTGAACCTGCCTCCATAACAAGGTTGCCATGGCTCAGAGCCTGAAGGACTTTGCTGGCCGCCTGCCTACTGGCCCACGTGGGATGAGCACGGCTTTAAAGTTGCTGTTGGGTGCTGGAGCTGCAGCCTACGGTATCCGGGAGTCTCTCTTTACAGGTACGGTAACTTTTATTCTAATTCTTTCATCTCTCTTTTTTTTTTTTGCTCAACTGTTGACAATAACACCAGAATGCTTTTGATTTCTACAGTGGAAGGGGGACAAAGAGCAATATTCTTCAACCGCATTGGTGGAGTTCAGCAGGATATTGTTCTTTCAGAAGGACTTCATTTCAGGTACTGATCTAGCGGATTGGGTGGTGTAATAAAAAATAAAAATAAAAAAAAATTAGAATGTAGCAGGGAATTTCAAAGCAATATTATCTTCATACTAATATTTCCAAAAATATCCTATTTTCCCCCAAATTTAATTTGATATTACTTCAGCTTGGCAAGATATTTTTTTACCAATTTTGCACCAAGACAAATTCCTTGTGTGCCTAATTATACTTGGGCAATAAAGCATTCATTCATTCATTCATTTATTCAAGTTTCCCTGAAGAAAACCCTCATATTGATATAATTTCTGTTTTTGCTAAGATGGTGTTCTTAAAACCTTCAGAAATTTTTCTCATTAAAGAGTAAGGAGTAGATTATGTGATAATATTTGTATCTCCAAGTAAGAGGCATAGGATTTTTTTTACATCTCTTTCAGTTATAATCATTGCTAATCTCCACAGAATTCCTTGGTTCCAGTATCCAATAATTTATGATATTCGAGCCCGGCCCCGCAAAATTTCCTCACCAACAGGATCCAAAGGTAAGAACAGAGTTGCACAGAGTTTTTACTTGCTACGAACTCAGCATTATGTTTTAGATATTTCTCCATCGTTCGTCTTTATAACAATTCTGCAATGGAACTTGTACTAAGAATGATGTCACAAAACCATCTATAAACGGGGCATTGTGGAGTAGATAGGATTTGTGCTTCCATAATTTTGAGTTTTGCATTTTGTATCAGTTTTGACATCCTTCTGTTTGTACTTCATGGAAGGCATACAGTTCTCTGGCCAGAATGTAAATTAAGGACTTCAGAACAACTGATTCTGGATGGTGTGTTTGGATATATAATCAGACTTGAGAAATAAAATAGAATGCACTTTAGAGATTGTGGTTGACTTAATTTCAACTCTAGATCTGCAGATGGTGAATATCTCCTTGCGTGTTCTATCAAGACCGAATGCCATAGAATTGCCCAGCTTATATCAGCGACTTGGACTAGACTATGAAGAACGTGTTCTTCCTTCCATTGTCAATGAAGTACTCAAAAGTGTGGTAGCAAAGTTTAATGCGTCACAGCTCATTACCCAACGAGCTCAGGTTTGTCCTTTTCTGATACCAGACCTGTCTTCCTGCACTTAATCCTACTTTTCACAGTTGTGTCCAGTAGTTTGCTGGCTGCAGATGATTTATATGTTAAGCAATTGTTTAGGGAACAAATGAGATCTTTTGCAAATTTCCTTTAGACAAGAAATTGAGTGAGAAGTATCCTGACTTGGTAGCAGATGTGCATAGACAAGTAGTGCACTATGGCTGCAAAAGTAGCAAATGTAGTTTTAGGGTATTTTTTATTCTGCTTTGCTCAGATCTTGCACTGATTATTAAGCCTAGTTTTGCCTCTTTCCCCTTGTAGTCAAAGTGTAGTTGAAAGAATGTGCAGACTGAAACTCCGAAACAGCAGATAAAATCCATTTTGTTGATTCTCTGGCCATGAAATTATCTTGGAACTGGCTCAAAGTCCTCTTCATCCAGAGATAAAGTATTAGTTCTTTAGATTTAACAATCGTTAAAGTTTGTCAAGTTTTCGAGAGAGGAATCCAGCTAGGAGCTGCACATCTCCCCACCCTGCTTTCTTAGGTTTCAGAAACTGTTCAGCCAACTTAATCTATGAAACTTAGCCAGGGAACAAGTATGTTTGCCTCTATATTTCAATCCAAGTTTATAAGAAAAGTTCAATGGAAATAAACATCAGGTGCTTTGCAAATTCACAAAATACAGAAACCAGGGGTTGAGAGTTATTCAGCCCCCAGTTAAACATGGTGGCAAGGGGTTGAAATAAATCAGCACCCAACCATTAATCAACATTTAAAACAATAAGGAAAATAAAACAAGTAAACAGTGAAAGTTAAAATTCCAGTGTGCTTAGAAAATGAAATTGCTTGACAGGAAGATCGATACACCCAATGAGTTTTTGATTGATTCCAGAGAGAATTGGAATCTTTAAGGAAACACCCACCCACCCCCACCCCGCCTTTCCCGCTGGGTCCACTATCGTCCATAAGGTGTCTTGGCTCCTAAGTGCTTCTATTCAAAACCAGGGAGCTGCATTGCCAAAGAACCAACATTAGCAGTGAAATTAGTAGATAATTGGTAAGAGAAAAAAGAAATATACTGTGCAGCATCTTGAAAAGCCAGTAGTAAGCCCAGTTCTTTAAGAATTATTATGGCCAATCTTTTAGAAAAACTTATTCTTCTTAAGAATGTAAGAATTTATAAACTAAATAAGGTCAGAAAAGGGCAATGAGGGCCATTGGATAATTAAAAACAAATTATGAAAAGAGACTGAAAGGATAGTGAATATATAGCCTTTAAAAGAGAAAAGTGAAGGGGATATGATAACACCTTTCAGATATCTGAAAAGCTGACATTGAGGGGAAAAAAACACTTTAAAGGACAGCTCAGATTTATGGCTAAGTTTATTTATTAGATTTAAATGTTGTTCATCCCACCATCCAAAATTACAGAAAGGCATATTTTGTTTAAATATCAACTGGTAAAGAGCAGTTTAACAGTAGAATGAAGTCAGACAGGTGATGGACTGCTCTTGCCAGGATCTGTTGGAGCATGAGGAGAAAGATTCCTTGTATCAGAGGGATAGGCGCAAGGATTTAAATGGCCACTTCAGCAACATGATTCTATGACTTTTACGATTTTGTGACTTTTTCTGGCAAAAGGAAATTCCTTGAGCAAAAACTGTGGGTTTATTTTTTCAGGTATCTTTGCTTATCCGACGGGAACTGACGGAGCGAGCAAAGGATTTTAGCCTTATATTGGATGATGTAGCTATCACAGAGCTGAGTTTTAGCCGAGAATACACGGCAGCAGTTGAAGCCAAGCAAGTGGGTGAGTTGATGCTTAAGTTAAAGGAAACTAACAGCTGGAGAAACCAGAAAAAAGAAGACTGGGTTTGAAAATAGCAATGGGCTTCAGGGAAAAAGATTCCTGAAAATATTTTTCAACACATGAGAGGCAGGTGGGCAGCTGCTCAAATATTCGCAAGTTCCATACTAGCCAATTCTTCTGTCTATGATCCGGAATAGGGTGTATGCAGTCCACCTTGAGTTTCTGAGTGGACACATGCCTACGGATGTAACGGGAGAACAGAAATGCACAAAAGTATATTTATGTAACATGTTACTTTGTTATATGTAGGAGCAGATACCACCTATGGTTGCTGCTGGTAAAAAGATTGACAAGAACACTAGAAGGCACATTTCACATCATTTTTAATTGCCTATTTTTCTGAAGGAGGCCTGTTTATTCCATGATTCACATACATCTTACTGAAGCTTCAGATGAGAATCCTTTCTGCCAGGTTTTGCTACAAGCCTGTGTGGTCATTTGAACCATTTGCTTTTACTCTTGCCACAGACTGCAGCACAAAATACCCATATTGTGTCAGCTCCTGTCTTTGGTCCTTTTGTCTTTTGCTTTCTGTGGCAGCCATACTCCACCCCACACCCTGTCCTCAATTCCTGCTCTTCCATTCTCCTGAATTGGATTCCGGATTATCCACAGGAGGCCATCTGTGATTTAATGTCAGACCACTCAGTGGTGGTTGTTTTTTCCATTTTGTTTGATAAATCAATTTAACTTGAAGATGAGCTAGAGTGGAATATTGAGACCATTATATTAATTGAAATTACTTCCCACATAATTTTTATAAGAGACAGGGTGTAGGTGTAAACCAGTTAATTTTAATGTTGAATATTCTAAAATTATTTTTTAAGTGAGATCAGTTTAATGCCAATCATATTGTAATTTAATGTAAGCAATTGGAAGAATTAAATAACTATTTAGTGTTCTGATCCCACTTTTAAAATGATGCTTCCTACAGCACTTTACTCAAATGCTACCAGCATATTAGCTGTCTGCATGGGAAAAGGTTGGGTTCTTGTTTTAAATCAGGGTTCTCCAAATAGTCAATCTCACTGTCTTTTGATATTATTTTTTTAGTATTTATTTGATCTGTCAATCGCTTACTAGATACAGGTATAAGAATAAATATAGTTTTGAATACATGAGATAGATACTTATAAGAAAAATAAAAAAACACTAGGACAGGCACGATTGGTGCACTTATGCATGCCCCCTACAGGCCTCTTAGGAAAGGGGTGAGGTCAATAGTAGACAGTCTAAGGTTAAAGTTTTTGGGGTTTGAGGAAGAAACCACAGAGTCAGGTAGAGTATTCCAGACATTGACCACTCTGTTGCTGAAGTCGTATTTTCTGCAATCAAGTTTGGTGCGGTTTACCTTAAGTTTGTATCTATTGTATGCTCTTGTATTGTTACAATTAAAGCTGAAGTATTCATTGACAGGTAGGACATTGCAATGTATGATTTTATATACTATATTTAGATCGGACCGGAGGCGGTGTAGTTCTAGGTTTTCTAGGTCTAGAGTTTCAAGTCTGGTGGCATAAGGTATTCTGCAATGAGTAGAGGAACGGAGAACTCTTCTTGTGAAATATTTCTGGACTTTTTCAATTGTGTTAATATCAGATACATGATATGGGTTCCAGACTGATGAGCTGTATTCAAGTATAGGTCTAGCAAATATTTTGTATGCTCTAGTTAGTAGTGTGATATTACCAGAGAAGAAGCTACGTAGGATTAGATTAACAACTCTTAATGCCTTTTTGGCTATGTGGTTACAGTGGGCTCTAGCACTTAGATAATTTGATTATGGTTGATTGCACAGTCAGCTAGATGTTTAGACTGGATTTGGTGTTTTTATTCACCTATCTGTTATTTGTAGTAGTATTAGTTCAGTATTATTTTCATATTTGAGGGTTGGTGAAAAATCTGGAACTTTATGAAGCAGTTGAAGAGTTTGGGGAGACCTGTTTCAAATAAAAAATACATGTTTATTTATTGTAATATAATTTAATTCATTGTAATACATGCTGGGTGACCTTGTGGCTGTTGCTGACTCTCGGCCTAATTCACCTCAGGATTTTGAGGAAAATAAGAGCATTAGATAAGTTCACTGGCTAGAGTTATTTATAAAAATAATAAAGGCAGAATATAAAATTAAAGACTATTTAAAAAGCTGGAGATTTACATTTGGTTTTCCAAGCTGAAAAGTCCAGTAATTTGTTTGTGACTGAATGTTTAATAAATACAAGAAGGAATTAGCAACGTCCTGGCATTTCCACATATATATTACATGACTGGTTCTTGCCAAGATACTAATTTTCCTCTGTACTCTAGCCCAGCAGGAGGCTCAGCGAGCACAATTCCTTGTGGAAAAAGCGAAGCAAGATCAACGGCATAAGATTGTTCAGGCTGAAGGTGAAGCTACAGCTGCTAAAATGATATCCTTGCTTTGATGTGAGAGGGAAACATTTCTACAGGTTTCAGGCACTTTGGGTGCAGCAGTAGAATGCAAAAGCATGCTAATCTTCACATAGTATGATTCCAGGTAAAGTGATGCAGCTTAAACATAGCTGACGGGATGGCAAAAGATGGTCCTGAGTTCAAAACTTATGCTACCTTAACTGATTATTCACCTTGGAGAAGCCCTCGGCAAGAACCCAGGTTACATCAAGCTGCGCAAGATCCGTGCTGCCCAGAATATCTCCAAAACGGTGAGTATTAAGACTAGTGGATTTGCTTTCATATTTAGATGTACCCATATGCACCTTTAGCTGCTGCTTTCGCATTATACCAGGCCAAGTGATGAATCTAAGGCGAACATGATATGCTTCTCCTGATGTTCATTTTTACCATCAGTGCCTGCTGATCTCCCCCATCCTAGCAAGAGTCAAGAAGACTTTTGACTCTTGTTGTAAGAGCAGGCTCACATCATTTCAGTGAGCTATACCCAAGTCATGGTCACTTGCAGAACATGTGTCACAGGCTAGGAAAAGGCTCACAGCAGGAACAAAATCAGATGGAGAAGCAGAATGAATTTGGGCATTTAGAATACTGATGGACCTGGAAATTTGTGACAGAAAACAAATTAAAATTCCACACCCATTGTCTTTGTTCTGGGATCTGATGAAACAGCCCATAATGAGAACATCAAAAGAATTAATAAAACTTTCAAAAGAAAAGAGATAGATTTGTCCATAGCATGCTTCTACAGAGACCTTGTGGGTTTTTTTTTCCCCCCCTTGGGCATGGTGACTCTCAACCCAGGGTTTAGCTGCTAATACATCAGTCTTTCCCAATATACTTGATCCTGGTTACGCTACACTTCATGGTCTTCATGCACCATGCTTGTAGTGGATCATGGGAATTAAAGCTGCAAACCCCTGGAGTGGATGAGTTTAGGGAAGGATTCTCTAAAGGTTGAAAGAAATGTCTGTGCTAAACCTCCATGTGTTTCGGGATCTTTGCTAACTTCCTTTTTGATCCACTGCCCTGAACTTTTGCAGATTGCAGCATCCCAAAACCGTGTGTATCTTACCGCTGACAATTTAGTGCTGAATCTACAGGATGAAGGTTTTACAAGGTGAGTGGCTTGTGAATATTCAAGTAGCTGATCTACAGGCTCCTATGGTGAGATGTAGCGTGAGATGATTTAGGGAAGTCAGAAGACGGCAGTTCCTCTGAAAAAGTGGTGGGGTGGGGACCACTAGGAAGCTATTCATCTTACACTGCTTTTTTTGAAGAAGAGCAAAGAATATAATATATCTTGCTCTCTGCATGTAGCATAAATCTAGTTCCCAAAGCATGTGCCGTAAACATGGAGGTACAGCAGGCTTTGTAAGTTTTTCTAATCCTTTTTTTTTTCTCTGTCCTCTCTCTTCTGGTGCTACTCTTTGTTGATCCGGATCCAGAGGAAGGTAAGACACATCTCTTTCATGCAGTCTTTAATTTGAGAAAATGGTTTAAGTTATTTCTGATTCATTTTGGTAACGCCAAGTGATATATTTATAAAAGCTGTGTTTGAAATACACAGTCCCACTCTTGTGAGAGTGAAAGAGAAGTTCTTGTTCTGAGAAGCCATCGACTGAAATGGTGCTTTTTTCCCCCTCCAGTGCCTTTATGTTATCCATACACAAACCTTAATTAGTTAAAAGTTTTGATGAATTATCTTCCTAGATTTTGATAGATGTAAAACAGGAGTAGGGCAACTATGGAGTCATTTAGCCTTCTGGGAATTATAGTGTGAGGAGAGAGGCCCACAGAAAGTAAGACATGGGGTTGGCTTCTCCTCCTGATCAGTAGGTCCATATAGCTGTTGGATGAGATTTTATTCTTTGGGAAAAGAGCCTACATAATAAGTATGGGCTCTTCTTTGTAGATTGTGGACCCTTGTTAGGTTAAACTGCTCTGATACATGAACAGTCTCCCACAGATGCTTGATTCCAGCTTATAGGCAACCACAAGGGCTGTGAATTTATGAAGAGTTGCCTGGATGCGTGTTTGCTTAGTTTTTTCTACCCATTTTGGAGGACAGGCAGGCTATTTTTCTGATCCAAACTTTTGATTCCCCATTGAGAAAATCCGTTTATGAAAAATTTTAAGCTCCACGTGCTTTTTTATATCTATAGAGAAATCTTGAACTGACAAATAGTGGGGTCAGGAGGAGATTAAGCCACCACTCTTCCTTTTTCTTCTGCTGAAAATGGCAAACTTCTGGTGCTTTTCAGCTGAAACTGGATGGAAAGTTACTGCGTGTCCAGCTTGACCAAGCACTCCATTCAGGATACAAAAGCGTGGTCATTGTCATCTCCAAAGTACAATAAGTTTGTGAATTCAAGGCTATCTTTTCTCTAGGCTAATATTATTACAGTAAGTTATTGTAGTTACTTTCAAACTGTAGAAAGTGAAATCCCAAGGTACAGCTTCCCAGAACATCTAAGGCAGCAGCCGTTAGCTGGTGTACCAATTCCATTAATAGTTTCATAGCAACTAAGTGTTCATAAAAGTACAGAGGAAGGACCCATAGTTTGGCATCTTCTTTTGAATTGAGCAGATCTCATTTAAATGTTTATCTAAAAAAAAGCTATGTAGTTTAGAATGTAGTTTGAAATGTTATGTGCCGGTACTATATTTAAGTAGGGGCTTATATAAAACATTTATTCATTAATACAGTACGGTGCTACTTTTATGTTTCACTTGGGGTTTTCTTTCTTTTTAATATAATCTTTAACGATTTATAAAACACCCAGATTTGTTGAGAGTCAGGATGCATATAAAATTGGTAATGATGATGCAATGATTATGACATTAGGAGAAAATGTTGAATGAACGTGTTCAAGAACAGCTTGTTATATAGCCTTCCATAAATGAAGTAAAAAAAGGAAGGTTTTCTAATGATTCTATTATTTTTCATTTAAATGACTATTATTTCATGAGTCAATCAGGCAAGTTTACAAAGGTTTGGTCTAATAATAAGGGATTCAGAATAAATTTCTCAGACATTGGGCATCGTTGTCTCTCTTCCCTTATTAAAATCAGTTATCCAAAGCTATGAATTAACTTACCTTTACTCCCATCATGGAGCAGGCTGATGAAAAATAGAAAAAACACAGAATTTCTATATCCAAACAACAATTACAAAATGTTGTAGAAACTAAACACAAACATAGGACAAACCTGCTTTTCTGCCTCAAGGAATTAATCCACCAAACACATATATATGTTTGAACCCTTAATTACTCTTGTTCTGTGTTAACCATAAAAATTAATGCTTGATTTCATGCTTGGTTCCCAAGCCCATATTATGGTATGTTTCTCAAAGTTCTTTGTTATGTCTTTGTTTCTCTTCCAGCGACAGTCTTCTCATCAAACAGATAAAGAAATGAAACAGCGATTGCCTCCTTGAACCACGCAGATGACTGACAGAATGGGAATTCCGGGCTTTTGGATATTGCACCTTTGAGGCCCATAAATATTCTCTTGGGATTTCTTTTCAGTTGTCATCTTCACCCTTGTCAACTTCCCAACTCATCCCTCACTAAAGGACCTTTTCTAGCTAATGTGGCTCCATTTTTTTGAGAATACCAACAGTAGGAATCAGTGTCAGGGTTCCAGCGATTGCCCTAATTAATTTTATTTGAACTCTTTATTGAATGGAGGTCCCTTAGATAAATCCCATCCAGCAGGACCAGATGTTTACTGGGAGAAACAAAAGAGGGTTGCATTGTGCAATTCTTTCTATCTGGGCTGATTTTTTTTTAACTAGATCAAATTGTTGCTGTTAAGTTTCTGATGGGTCTGTGTCATGCCTTACATTTAAAATCCCTGGCTCTTCCATTTTTTCATTTCTGACTTACTTTTCCATTCCCTGTTCCCCATTGAACATCTCATCTCAGGAATAGATGGGTCACAGGACTTTTGCAAGTGCTGTGAGACTTTATGTAACTTCGGTTGCCTTGTGATTCACATCTTTATTAAATAAAATCAGGTCCAAAACTTCTGATACGACTGTTTGCTTTCATTTTTAAGCGTTGGGTTTCTTTCACCAGACAGTACTTATGCAAAAGGGAGAAAAATTAGCCATTTGAATACTTTCAAAGATCAGTTCACTTTAACGCCTACTTGTGTTTATGCATGAGTGTAGTTGTGAGGAAATGGAGAGCAGGTGGCAGTGCATTGCTATAGTTCTCAGTAGAATACAGTTGCATTTTCCGTCTTCCACGCAAGAATATTTTATTTTTGTCTGTTTTTGCTGTTCTATTTGGAATGCTTTGCCGTTGCCTTTTTCCTAGGCTGGAGAGAGAGAGAGAGAGAGAGACTAGCCCATAGCCACACAGCTAGCTTGGAAGGAGGCAGGGCACTAAGGTACAGTTCACAATCTCTCACAATTTCAAACCTGCCTTTAACCATCAACTGAGTGATTCTTGAATGATGCTTGACCAAACTGCATTACCATACACCCATAAAGCCGATCAATCATGCTTCATGTCCTACTACAGACTTGATTAAAACTCTGGTATGTGCAATAACAAAGTATTGGCAGGAAGAGTGGTTGAATGTCTGATTAACTGGTGAGGAGAATTCTTCCTTAGTTAAGAGAACAATATTTGCTGGCAGATAGTTTTCAGAGTTTTTGTTTTAAAATAAGTATACTATTTTCTCTAAATGAAAACACTACATAAATAATAATCTGCCAGTGTCTCTGTGAAAAGGAATAATCTATGTGGTAATTTAGCCTGTTGGGCATATTTAGGATTTTTAAAGCATGTGAAGGATATTCTTACAAAATGGCTGCTATAAGAAGATGCACTAACACAAAATGGCTGGTATATTAAGCATGAAAAGTCAGAACAACTATTCTACCTGAAGGCAACTTGAATTGCTTTCTGTTGTACCCAGGAAGCTCTAGCTTACCTTGTGTTCTTCCCCACAAAGGTGGAAATATTTTCCATACCTATGTCTGCAAGGTTTTATGCAAGTCCCAGGGAATTTCTTGTAAATAAAGATGCTGGGGGATGCTTGCCAGATCCCAAACCTGCCTGGATTTTCAGTGCAGTGTCAACAAAATCTAGATTGCAGGAGCTAGAGGGGAATGAAAAATATCTCCACTCCGCTTACACCTGTTGGCACACAAGTAGGAAGTACTGGTATGTCATGTACCAGATAATGGCAAACCGTAAGATGTGCAGGTGGGAACAGATGTTTCTGACTTTAGCACCATTGTAGAATCGAGATTGGAAGTTATTGGAAGTCAGGCAGTGTACAAATGTAATAAATACACTGAACTCCCATCAGTTTCTTTGTCTGATCTTACAAATGATGTTAACCATTCCTTAAAGCCTGATTTTTGCCAGGATAGGCAACAGCTCCTTCCAGACTAGCTGACCTTGAGAAATCTGGGTAGAATTGGATCTTGCTTAGATTTGAGTAGACAACTTCAGAAAACTACAAGAGTCTTGAAAGTGGAGTCATTGTCTCCTTAGGAGCCAGTGTGAGTCCATTTTCCTATTGCTACAAGAACTACATGTAGTGATAGCTCTATGCCACACTGGTGAGGGCACATTTGGAACACTGTTCAGTCAACCCCATAAAAAAAAAAGATGGTGAGGCCCTAGAAAGGGCTGAGAAGAGCAAGGATGCTAGGTGGTCTAGACTCTTAAATCCCATGAAGAATGGGTGACGGAACTATGGTATGTTTCGCTTAACAAAGAAGAAGGGGAGATGTGATAGCTAGAAGGGCTGCCACAGGAAAGGATGTTGGATTTATTTTCCATAGCACAAGAAGGTAAGGCAAGCAGTGGAAGCTTGTCAGAGGGAAATCCACTTGGAAATATGGAGGAATATCCTCACAGAACTATTGAGCAGGGAACAGTTTGTTTCCTGGAGTTGTGGTTAGTCCTTCACTAGAGATTTTTCAAGAAATTAGTCCAAAACAGTATGAGTAGTCACTGAGAGCTAAGATTACTTTTTTAAACAGAAAAAAGGGGAGGAAAGGAGAACACCTTCAGGATAAAATAGATCTTAGACTGTGTACCAAAAAAAGTCAGGAAAGCAGTGGCAATTTTAAAAAATTACCCGCCAGACCAGATAATAACATCAATCATACACTTTCTCTGCAGGGGAAATTGGAATGATTACAGTAGATTAAAAAAAAATGAAAAATCTCTATTTCTATCGGGTAGGGCTTCACCAACTCAACCTTCAGTACTACTGGCTGTAGAATAGATGAAACGCCTATGAAAACGCCTTGATACTTTCTCAAGCAGCTGTTTCAAATAATGTAATCTGAAGATACAGCACAAGAGGGCAGTGTGGTGATAGAATGAACTTCTCCCAAGGAATATGGAATTATGGTATCTTGGTGGGTGGTGGGGCTCTGTAGTTTAGGAACTGTAATACAAAAGTGGATAGGGAATCAGTGGAAAATACACCAAATAAGTGGATCTGCAGAAAAAAATCAATGCTTTACATTTTTATTTTCAATACTTATAAACTGCCCCAATTCTACCAGAATCTGGGTGGGTATGCCTTGACTTGCAACCATAACGGAGCCCAACATTTCGGGTGCTAAGCAAGACAGTTGTTAAGTGAGTTTTGCTTCATTTTGTGGCTTTTCTGGCTACAGTTGTTAAATGAACCACTGCAAGTTGTTGAGTTAGTAATACGGTTAAGTGAATCTGGCTTCACTTCATTGACTTTGCTTCTCCAAAAACATCGCAAAAAGTGATCACATGATCCCGGGACATTGCAATTGTCATGAATACATACTAGTTGCTAAGTGACCATGATTTTGATCACGTGACCATGGAGATGCTACAATGGTCATAAGGATGAAAAACAGTCACACGTCACTTTTTCAGCGCCATTGTAACTTTAAACAATCACTAAATGAATGGTTATAAATCGAGGAACTATCTGTAAAATGTAGCCTGAATATTGTTGCAAAGCATTTTTCTGTTCCCTACATTCCCCTCGCTCATTTTAATCCAAGTATCTTTTGATTTTTTCCTCGCCCTTCAAACTTATGCAGAAAACAAAATGGTTTCCAAATAAATTAAAAATACAGTGATATTTTATTTTTAATATTACACATTACCTGGTATGTCTCAGGGTTGCCTGAAATATAGCCCATATCTATGTAACAATTCCACCTGGTGGTGAATGAATGCTGATTTCAGTGTTCATTAGCTTTATACATATCGGGGGGGGGGGGGGGAGAACAACCTCAAAAAGTGGCAGACTTAAGACAATGGAAGGAGCAAATGTTTGTGTTCCATATTAGCATACTTGGAAAACCCTTTTCTGATTGGTCAACAGACACTGGGCAATGATTGGTTCAAATAACCTATTGCCATTGGTTCGCTAAGAATCACCTGCGATTGGCGCGGCCGATCGCGGTAGATTCAAAGAACTGTCATTGGTTGCGAGCCACGGGAAATCCCTATAAAAAGGGCTGTCGCGGCTCCAAGATCTTGTACAGAGCTAAATAAAGAAATAAGAGCTGAAAGTCACACTGGTCTCAAGTCTCCTTCCCGCCGTCTAACACTGGTGACGAGGATGGGATTCGGGGACAAAGGAGACCAGTAGAGCACGTGGCAACCAGGACTGACCAACCGACGAGATGGCCGGTAGCAACTCGCCACCCGCACCATTCGATCAAGCAGCAGAGGACTGGGAATCGTATATCGATCGGTTCCTCATGTTCCTCGAAAGCAACAACCTACAGGACGCAACTGACCAGAGGAAGAGAGCCGTGTTCCTGACACACTGCGGGCCTGCAGTGTTCAAAATGGCCAAGGCATTGGCCAAGCTCTGGGACATTAAGGAGATGGCATGGCCAGACCTGGACCGACTACTACGGACCATTATGCACCGACCGTCCCCAACCTCATCCGAAGGCACGAGTTTTATAAACAGGACCAGAAAGAAGGGGAAAGCATCGGAGACTTTGTAGCGGCTCTGAGGAACATCGGAGGTGAGTGTGGGTTCTCCAACATGGACGAGGCCATGAGAGACCACGTGGTTCTCGGACTAAGAGACCTCACACTCCAGAGCCGATTGATGACCCGACCAGACATTACGGTCACCAAAGCCATCGCTGAGGCCACCGCAGCCGAAGCCGTGAAAAAGTCAGCGGCCGCAATGCGGCAAATGAACGTGGTAGCCCGGCAAACACCGACGGAAGCAAGCCCACCCCAGGAAAAGGGACCAGAGGGAAGCCAAAAAGCCACCACTACGACCGCGCACCACGAGGACGTTGATTCCCATTCTGAGACCGACGACGAGGTGGAAGAAATTCACAGACTCCAGTCGGAACAAGATAGACAGGAGCGGAGAGGCTGTAAGTCGGGGTTCCAGTGCGCCGTGTGCGGAGGAGACTACCCCCGTTCAGAGTGCCGGTTCCTAGATGCCATTTGCCGGCACTGTGGAAAACGGGGACACATCGGCAAGCTCTGCCGAAATAAAAGGACTTACAGCCCGAGGCGACGTGCAGCCCCCCCCCCCCCCAGGACCAGAGACAGGCACACAGAGAGCCGTTGGAGCCGCGAAGGAAGAAGCAAGCGGATCAGCAAAAACCGCCGGAAGGAAGAAACCCACCAAACGGTCACCATCGGACACTCGAGCGCAACAGATGCCCAAAAGGTACACGTGCAAGTCGGCATCGAAGGCCAGCAGTGTAACATGGAGGTGGATTCCGGATCATACCTATCGATGGTATCCTGGGACACCATAAAGCACCTAGTACCCAGCATACGCAAACGTGAACTAGACAACCAGAGACTGACTTTAAAGGACTACCAGGGGAACAGAATCCCCGTAGTCGGAGTCGGACATTTTCACATAACCTTCAAAAAACACGCAAAAATCCTCCCACTGACCATCGTAGACAGAGACCGCCCAAGCCTACTGGGACTGGAGTGGTTCGCGCCGCTGGGGATCGAGGTGACAGTCATCAATCACATCACCGAGGCAGACTGGGAGGAGAGCCTAATGCGGGACTTCCAGGACGTATTCAACGGGAAGCTAGGCAAGTATCGTGGGTTCCCTATTTCATTTAATCTGAACCCAAACATAGCCCCGATCCATTTAAAGCCCTCAAACCAAAAATGGATGAGCAATTGGACAAGCTCATCGCACAAGGGGTCCTAGAGCAAATAGATCACGCACGGTGGGAAACCCCAATAGTCACCCCAATTAAGACAGACGGGTCCGTGAGAATCTGCGGAGACTATAAGGCCACCCTCAACCACGCATTACAGCAGAGTGCATACCCCATTCCGGTGGTACAGCACCTCCTACACTCGCTGTGGGGAGGAAAAGTCTTCGCAAAGCTCGATCTGGCACAGGCATACCAGCAACTGCCAGTCGACCCCGAAACAGCCGAGGCACAGACCATTGTGACCCACAGGGGGGCATTCTGTTGCAAAAGACTCCAATTCGGAGTCAGTGTGGCCCCAGGGTTGCTCCAGAGCCTGATGGAACGGTTATTGCAAGGAATAAAGGGGGTGGTGCCCTATTTCGATGACGTGCTGGTATCTGCCAAGGATAAAAATCAATTGGAAAGCCGCCTCAGAAAAGTCCTGCAGAAATTTAAAGAGGCAGGACTCAAAGTTAAAAAAGAAAAGTGCCAGCTATGCACCGAAAAAGTAGAATTCCTGGGGTACCTAATTGACAAGAATGGGATCCACCCCACCAAGAAGAAAATTAAAGCCATCAAAGAAGCCCCCAGACCACAGAACAAAACAGAACTACAGGCATTCCTAGGACTCGTTAACTTTTATAATGTTTTCTTGCCACAGCAGGCAACAATGACGGAGCGTCTACATAGACTGTTAGACAAGACAGCCACCTGGTCCTGGGGCAGGCGGGAAGAAACCGCATTTCAAAGAATAAAAGACCTGCTGACATCTGAATCGGTCCTTATACAATACAACGAAACCCTACCGTTAACCGTGACCTGTGACGCGTCACCATTCAGCGTTGGAGCCATTCTAAGCCACACACTACCGGACGGGAGAGAAGGGCCAATCGCATTCTACTCCAAGACATTGTCCAGGGTAGAGAGGAACTACAGCCAGCTGGACAGGGAGGCACTAGCAGCGATCACCAGAGTAAAGCGGTTCCATGAATACCTGTATGGTAGGACTTTCTCCCTCATTACTGATCATAAACCACTTCTGGGAATACTGGCAGGGAACAAGGCCACCCCAAACATATTGTCACCACGGATGACAAGGTGGTCCGAGTTCCTTGCCGCCTACAACTACCAATTAATTCACCGGCCAGGGAAAAGCATATCACACGCTGATGTCCTGAGCCGCTCCCCCCTCCCTGACCTGGAAGACGACCCGGCTCCCATCACATCCATACTTCAGATAGAAACATTACCCAACTTAACTATGACCGCGTCAGACATTGCCAAAGAAACTGCAAAAGACAGGCAACTGGCGCGGGTTTTAAACTGGGTGGCAAAAGGGTGGCCGGAAACCGATGACAGCGAGCCATTCAAAACCTTCTGGAACCGACAAACCGAACTATCTACACAAAAGGGATGCATACTATGGGGGGACAGAGTTGTAATTCTGGAAAAAATACAAGCAAGGGTGTTGGACATGTTACATGAGGCACACCCGGGGATTGTCAAAATGAAATCCTTGGCCAGGAGTTACGTCTGGTGGTCAGGGATAGACAAAGACATTGAGGCATGGGTGGCAACATGCGGCAAATGCCAGGAATCCAGACCTAACCCCCCTTCCGCACCTTACCTCGAGTGGGAGACACCTAGGGGCCCCTGGTCACGAGTCCATATAGATTTTGCGGGACCTACAAAGGGACATACATTTTTAATAACTGTCAACGCTTAGTCAAATTGGCTGGAGGTCAGCATCATGTAATCCACAACAACATAGGCCGTCATCAAACAATTAACAAAACTCTTCGCAACCCATGGATTACCGGACTTGCTAGTTGCAGACAACGGGCCGCAATTCACGGCGTTGTCATTCGAAAAATTCCTAGCCGAACGAGGCATACGGCAACTGAAAGAAACACCGACAACACTGATACACCACACACAAAAAACCCACACCAAATAGAGGATAATACAAAACCCAGAGGGGGGGGGGAGAATCCCCAAACATTAACCAAAAGGGAGGAGGAAACCCTCCGATAACACAACAACAAACTGAACACCCCCCACCAACACAAATAGGCCCAAAAACACTACTTACCGGCAGACGACTTTGGCAGAAGGGAACCAGCAGCGGATAACCAACACGAGGCCTCTCCTGGAAGAAACAGCCAGGCCAGCTCAACCAGCTCAGAAAGACCAGGCGGGAGCAGCGGAGCCACCGACTCGACCGACCCAGGTAGACCGGGTGGGAGTGGCAGCAGCAGGCCTGACTCACCATTCCAGGATGTTCCACCGAGGCGGATGGGAGAAACAGCTATCCCATCCGAACCAGCTGAAGGCAACAACACAACTGAGCTGCGCAGGTCAAGTAGGAACACGAAGAGCCCCGCCTACTTACAGGACTACGTTATGTAGGTTGGACTGGACCAAGAGGGGAGGGGTGTTCCATATTAGCATACTTGGAAAACCCTTTTCTGGTTGGTCAACAGACAGTGGGCAATGATTGGTTCAAATAACCTATTGCCATTGGTTCGCTAAGAATCACCCACGATTGGCACGGCCTATCGCGGGAGATTCAAAGAACTGTCATTGGTTGCGAGCCGCAGGAAATCCCTATAAAAAGGGCTGCCGCGGCTCCAAGATCTTGTACAGAGCTAAATAAAGAAATAAGAGCTGAAAGTCACACTGGTCTCAAGTCTCCTTCCTGCGATCTAACAATTTGTATTTAGCCAATGACAGATTTGTTACTTGTCTGCGAGCTGATACGAATCGCATCCTGACTCACATACTTGTCCAAGAGCCCTCATGGAATCTGTTTCAAATTCTAGTTAATATTTATTTAGAAAATTTATATAGCCACCTACTTGCTTCCCAGTGACTCTAGGCAGTTTACAAACAATAAAAACACAATATAGGAAAATATATATATAAAAAAATTAAAACAATAACCACCCATTCATCCACCTCTGGCTACAACACAGTCAAATGAGCCAGTTGGTGGGCTCCATCCTGTCCTGGGTTCCCCAGGTCGACTGGCAAAGCCAAGTCTTCAGGGCCTTACAAAAGAGTGTCAAAATGGGGAGGGAAGTCTAATTTCTGGAGGGACGATATTCCAAAGAGAGGGAGCCACCAAAGAGAAGCTCCTTCATCTGGGTCCCACCAGATGTATCTCCTTTTAGGGGACAGGACCCTCAACTTTCCTTGCCTCCCTGCTCAAGTGGGTTGGGTGGATGTGACTGGCAAGAGACGGTCCCTCAGATAACCTGGTCCCAAGCCATGAAGGACTTTAAAGGTAACAACTGGCACCTTGAATTGCACCCAGAAGCAAACTGGCAACCAATGTAGTTCCCGCAGGAGAGGTAACACATGTGCACATGGAGGTCTGCACAAAACCACGGAGGCTGCTGCATTTCGAACAAACTGGAGCTTCCAGATGCTTTTCAAGGGTAGCCCCATGCAGTACAGTGAGTCAAGATGGGAGGTGAGTAGGGCAAGAGTGAGTATGGATTGTTGGTCCAGGAAAGGGCATAACTGGCATACAACTCACAGTTGTGCACAGGCCCTCCTGGCCATGAATATATTAAAATCTATGCTATATTAAAATATATTAATATATTAAATAGATATATCGAGCAAATGAGAGGAGGCACATACCAAACAAATATCTGGTTTATTTACAGAGTAAAGCAATCCAATCTATTATTTACAGAGTGCAATTGCCAAAAGGTTGGTGAATAAACAGATAGCTGTTGAGCTTGTGGTTCCCAGTTGTAAATGGAACATGGTCAGCTTTGATCCGATGAAATTTCAAACAAACAGTAGGAAGAAACTGGATTAGAAAGCTTAAGCTAAGGAAGTAATGCTTATTGAAAAGCACTGTATTCAGCCTCTGGGTCCAATAAGTGGAATGACCCAAAGCAAAAGTGCAAGGTTTGCCAGCTCCAGATCCATAGTAAGCTTTGTATCACCTACTAAGGGGTACATTCTAAAAAATGGGAAGGATTAGGCCGTCTTAGGAGAGGTCTAGGCAACACAAGCAGGTGTTTTACTCTTTAGACTAAAGAACAAGGTACTTTGCATGGACTCAAAAACAGCAGAGATCTAGCTAGTAGATGTGCTGAAAAATGGGGCATTTTAGGAGGTAATAAAGGAGTCAAGGCAATAAATTGGTGGCTGAGAACCCCAACCTGCACAATCACAGTGGGTGCAAGATTCTACATGCAAATGAAATAAACATCTAAGAGGCCTATGATAATTTAAAATAATGTAGGTAAGGGGGCAAGTGAGAATGAAGTGATGAAAGGAGAAAGTGCCAGCTGAGTTTTTCCATGCAGTGACCAAAATATGGACAGCCCTGTACAATTCTGTAAACCTCTAGACAAAATTGTTATTAGCGAGGACAAATGTTCACTGCAAATGGAGCCAATGATGGCTACTTTTTCTTCAAAGAGCCTTTAGGTTTCTTTTCTTTCCCAGATGGCCATGGTTTTTGACCCTTCTCTTCTTTTTTCCCTTTCATGTTGTCTAAATTCTCATAGAGGGTTGGTTCCTCCCTTTGCCTGTATAAGGAGGAAAAGAGCAAAAAAAGGGCAGACAAGCTTCATAGATAATGTTGAATCATTGATGGGCTTGCTATGTGCATGAGCTTCATGAAATTTTTCATGTTTCTCTCTTTCTTGCTTTAAGGTAAAACATTGCCGCTTTCTGTTTATCAGATGACCCACAAGAAAGCAACAATTAAATATTGGCTTTCAATCCAGTTTATTTGGGGGGTGTTATTATTGTTGTTGTTGTTTGGCAATTCACATTTAATTAGTTTGCATGAATAAACCAAATTTGATTTGATTTACATGAAAAAATAAGGAAGTTATTCCCTAAGGAGAGTCGGTTGAGATGGGGTGGATAGAAATAAATGAGAGCATCCAGAGTGTGGTCTCAAATTATATTTGAGCTATTCAAATTCTGAGAATATGTGACAGCTTGTTTAAATCCAATTTTGTACCCATTCAGTAGATAGCTGTACCAATTAGTCAAAGGAAGGTACTTTCTGCTATTTTGAAATATGTTAGCTTCTTCATACATAGAACAAGTTATGTAGCATTTTTAAAAATAACCTTTCAAAGCAGCATATATATGGTACAAAATTATATTATTGGAATGGGCTTTGGACATCACTCATTTGCTTTCAAATATACACAAGATCAAATTTCAGAATTCTTTCAATTCATCAGATTGCCAAGTTGCTGTTAAAATAACATCAGCAAAGAAGATACTTCCAAGACGACCTGTTAAATACTTCATAGATTCTAAGAGGTTCTGTTAACATTTAGCTAAGAGTGATGCAACTCCTGCAACTTTCATCACTTGGCATTAATTCTAAATTTTAGAGCAACAAGACACAAGTAATCTCTATTGTAGAGATTGACTCTATTTTTTTTTCTCTAATTCTAACTATTTTTTTTTCCCTAAAGGCTAAATCTTTCAATCTCTTAGGACATTGTTTCCCAAGTTTTGATTCATAGAGATATTTGTTTTCAATACCCCCTGCCAAAAAATAGAATGTTTTGAAGAGTGGTACACAGTAGGTTTAGGATGGTGTTACGTATGTCACTGATATAGACCAGGAAAGTATCCATGATTCTCAGTTTCTTCTATCCAGTTTAAATTCGACATTGCTGAAACTTGCTTCTAGTTTAGAGTTTGCTCCAGGAAAGAAGAATGTTAATTATCTAATCTCTACCACTTTCAGAACATTGAATTGTCTTTATAAATATTATTGTTTGCTTTGAACAAAGGTCTTACCTGGAAGATTTTCTAGAAACCTTTGGGTGTGAGGTCTTCTGGGCAAGTGGGTAGGTGAGATTCCCATATTCTGATTCATTTAGTCTTCCTTTCGGAAACTGCAGCACGGAGAAAAGGGGTAAAAGGAAAGCTAGAGCCAGTGGGGAGGGGGTTTTGTTGTTCACTGAGCACTCTCTTACTGTATGGAAGGCAAGGAGCTGAAACTGCCTATGTGCACAGAAGGAAGTTGAAGTCTCCCCTGGCAACCAAAACAAACACCTGCTCTCCCACCATTTTTTCTTTTTGTTCCATTCTCCAGCCTGACTGTGAAGGCACTTGAAATCTCTCCTTTGCTGCGACCTGGACTGGCAAGTCTCTTGGTCAAGATCCACTGATTACTGCACAGCCAGTGAAGATGACAAGGGCTCAGCCAATGAGGATAAACCAGCTTGGTTCTCTAACCAGTGTGTCTAATGTGGCTGCTAGAAGATGAATGTGCCATAGCTATTGTCCCTTTGCTAGGGAGCAAACTATCTTGATGGGTGCCATCTGCTTCTCTAGAAGAAAATACAATCACCCCCCGCCCCACAAGGTAACAGAATGGCATTTGCATGCCTCCTTCAATCCATTACCTGCATAATGTCCCGTTTCTTTTTGGTGACCTCTATAAATTGGCATATGGCCATATAGATGAACTTGTATTGAGCTTCAGTCTGCACCATTCCTGAGCGTTGCGACCGGACCATTTGAATGGCCTTTGGAATATCTATATCACAGTCCAGTCCTGGGACACAATGAGAAAGAGAAAGGAGGAATAGGAAAACAGGTTAAAACACACAGAAGCCACTTGGTATTGTGGTTGAAGTGATCTGTTTATGTTCATTACCAGATGAATATTTACTTGATCAGGGTTTAAATGCAGTGTTTGGCTCTAAATGCCTAGAAATAATGATCACCAGAAAGGTAGATATAGCATCTTCCCTGTCATAGCTAATTAAGGATCTTTCTCTGCTTCATCCTGACATGCTCTGCCAACCTCCTTCCTGCTATGTCTCCCTTTTCTGCCTTCTGCATAGAGGTGGATTTGAAGCTGTACAGATGCAGATAGATAACTCAACAAGACATCCACAACAAATTACATTTATTGGTTCATCAGGTATCCTCATAACTCACGTTTGTGATGAAGTTCTTCTTTAATGACCAGTCCTTTGTATATCTGCCTTGTAGTAAAAGATGGTTATCTCCTAACCCATCTCATAGCGATAGAAAGCAGCTGCCATGAGTTAGGGAGTTCAGGCAAAAGTGAGGGAAACTCTCCCAACCCAGCGAGGGTCAAATTAGTGACCAATCGGATTTACAGATGTGGCCACTTGACATGGACTAGATTTCCCAGGATACCTTTAACTACATTTACCATGATGCCTTCCCTTTAGGGGACAGCTCATGATTCCTAAGTAACTATCCAATTCCCATAGACTGGCTGGGACAGCACACTCCCAGCCCAAAGAGAGAGAGAGAGAGACAGAGACAGAGACTGCGAGAAATGAGAAAGAGATGGAGACAGAGAGACAGAGACAGAGAGACAGAGAGAGAGATATCCAAGGTCAGATACCCAAACTGGTCTCACCTTTGGTGGAAATCATATCCACAGTCATATCAATGACAATGATGGTCCCAGTGCGACCAATCCCAGCACTGTGGAAAGAGGAAGAAATGGGGATTATGGGCATCAGAGTGCATTCCAGGCACAAAATAGGCACATTTCAATATGTTTATGTCACTTTATGACTGTTCTTCAAACAGTACTGGGGTTGGCCCAAATCTATGTAAACATATTAAAAGCACTATCAAGACCTGAGCCAACAATGACATTCTTGAGAGCAGGATGCACAAATGGAACTAACTCAGGAACAGACAATTTAAACAATGTCTTATATTTTCTTAGAGATAGGCACCAAAATCTAACAAATCTAGAAGGTTGCCACAGAGAAAGTAGTGGCTCTCGTATTCACCAATCTACTGAACCAGTGGGCACAGAAGCCAAAGCCTTGGTGGTCCAAATGGTACTAACAGGAGTGGAGAGAACAGAATAGACTTGGTGGATTATGACTAGATTTATCCCCTGACAAGACACTGCTGCAACATTTCAAATAAAGCCTCAGAAGTATTTATTTATTAATCACACTAATTAGAATTTCTTGAAAATTGTGTGGCAAACAACAGTAATGCAGAATATAAAAAACAATAAACCAAGAAGAGATCTGTGGTTCTCCTAGGAAAAACAGCCACAATCAGCTTTGCACCAATTCCTCCAAGAAATCCTCCATTCACCCTAATCCAAAGCCTGGGGCAGAGCCAAGGGCATTGGGGTCGATTGAAGAGCAGGGTAGGACCATTTCAATCTCTTTCTTCCAGAAGTATCAACAAGGGACTTCCGGCTGATGTTGCGACGAGACCAGAATTAATTTGGAGGTGGAAAATTTAGAGGAAAATAATTAAACTGTATAATTATTGGACTTTTGGCACTAAATAGGCATAAGTAAATGCTGGAATTTTAATGTGTTAAAAAGAAATAATAGCTAATAACTGGAATTAGCGAATTAATTAAAGTTTTAAAAGGGAAAAGGGAAAAGAAAGGGTGGAATGTGGAAACAGAACTGAGAGCGCCACCTAATGGTACAGGAAAAAAAATCAGTGACTCTTTGAAAAGTGCTTGGTCTTTTTAAAATTGGAATTTAAAAGGAAATAAGAGGAACTCCACTATAGTAAAATAAAAACCCTGAAAAGTAAAATACTAGAATACTACAAGGGGAAAAGACACATGAAGAAATTGCCTTGGATTATTTGGTGATTTGGGAAAAAGTTGGAAAAGAAATTAACAGAAGAAACCTGGAAACAAAGACGCTGGTTGAAATAAACTACTGGACATTTGGATTGCATATTACTATTAAAGGGGAGGAAGGAGAAGCGTACAAAATGGGAAATTATATGGGGAAATGAGACTGGAACTACAAGGTATGAAGGAAATGATGAAAGAAAGCATGGAAATGTAGAGTATTATACTACAAAAATTAGATTGAAGAAGAAGAAAGAGAACCAGAGGGGGTGGAGTCAAACAAAAAGGAAACCAGCTTTAAACAAGTGGAACAACGAACATTAAAATGGAGTTGGGGGGAAGAATTAAAGTTAAAAATTTGAGGTTTGATGTGATAATTAAAGGGGGAATTGTTTGGAAAACTAAACAAAGGAAAAGGAAACAGCAGAAGAGGGAATTACAGAGGAAAGATCGAGAGAGGGAAGGGGGCAAAATAAATAATTGTAATAAGAAATGGAGGGAAATAATAAAGGAAAAAAAGGGAAATTAAGAGAAAGGACCAGAAAATGAAGGGAGGCAGAAAGCAAACAAGAATAAAAATAAATTATATAGTCAGGAGGATGAGAGACAATGGGTAGAAGAAGAATAGGGAGGGAGATTCTGCAAGGTAATTTGTTGTGTTATATTAAGAATATGGATTTAAAAATAGATAAGTTTGGAACTGACTTTTTTTTCTTTAAGGATTATTGTTAAACAGGATATAGATTTTATTGAAATAGATATGGAAATGGGAATTTATTATAAGAATATTAATTGATATTTAATAAAGCAATAAATAAAGTTAAAATGAAGTATGAGAATTGTAATGGAAAGATTAATATCAGTTTCTACAATTAATTGAATAGATTAATATTTTTTGAATATATAGATGATTTACAAGGTAATTGAGAAAAAGAATACCATGCGGAATCTGACTTAAAATATATATGAAATAGTTAGGAGAATATTGTTAGTAATGTAGAATGTGGTAATTAAAAAAATAACTATACTATGGTAAATTATGAATTAAAGGGAATAAATTGAAGGAAAGGTAAATAGGTGGCAAGCTCAAATTGACAATTAAAGGGGACAACTTTTTGAATTATTAGAATAAGGATGAAATTTATTGAATAATGAATGAAATAACAGTATGTGATAAAATTGCAAATGTGACAGATAATAGCAATATGTGTAATGAATATAGAAATGAAATAAGAATCTTAGATAATATTGTAAAATATGAGAATATTTTAAGAAAAATGAAATAAGTTAAGATACGAACTGGAATTGGATAAAATAAGTGTAATGAATTTAATATTTGAGAATATTTCAAGGAAAACAGAATAAGTAATAATGTGATATGAAATTGAATAAGAAAGATGAATATGTAACTATGGTCACGTTTGTATTGAAATGTAATAATCTGGAACCACACTGTTCGCCGAAAGAGATGTTTTTTAAAAAATATAAAAATAAAAAAATTATATATATTAAAAAAGAAATGTTAATGATCTGATGGTCATTTCGAAAAATCCTTTCTTAGCAAGCACCTAGAAGCCAAGAGGAACATACGTGCCAAATTTCAAGTTTGTAGGCTTTACAGTTCTGGAGGTTTCGTGATGCTGCGTGAGTGGCATTTCACTTTTATATATATAGATTAATTTATAAGCTCCCAGAAATTTGTCAAGAGGTATTCAAAATAAACAGGTTGCAGAGGGACATAGTTTCCAATGGGTTTATTTACAGCTATTAGAAAAATCTAATCTAGACAAAAGATTTGACTGAGTCTGAAATATAATATTGTACAAATGATGAACATGTAATTACTAAAATGTATAATTTTTTTATTAATAGAAGAATTAAAGAAGAAGAATGTAAAAGAATATATGATAGTGGACTAAAATTTGGGGTTATAATATACAGATGGAGCAATGGGAAAATATGTGGTTAAAAGGACTGAAATTTAATTATGTTGTAGTCTTAAAGAGGATTTTTATAAGATGATGTACCATAGGGCTATGACTCCAGAGATAAAAGCACTTCAAATATATGTTGGAAATGCAAACAACAAGAAAGGACATTTTATCATACTTGGTGGAAAAGATTAGAAAATATGGGATTCAAATAAACATGCTGATTTACAGTACACGATTTCAAAGATTAAGATACAAACCATACTGGAGGGCTTTGTTTTGGTCTAATGGACAAATGGTTGGGAAAAAAATAATGGGAATTTGTTTTTGTTATTTGGCAAAATTTACAATGAAAGAATGGTTGCTGAAGATGATGGAACTTGCTGAGAGGCCTAATGGATTTCTTTGATAAGAGAAAAAAACAATATCTATGTTTATTACTAATGGAACCTCCTTCTTATAGACTTTTTGTGGAAAGCAGAAAAAGAAATGAAAGGCAACAGAATCCTAGGCTGCATCAACAGAGGGACAGAACCAAGATCATGTGAAGATCAAATTTGGAATACTGCATTAAGTTTTGGTCACCCTTGTATGTTGAGACTGTATGATATGTTGAGGCTCTAGAAAGAGTGCAGAGAAGAGCAACAAAAATGATTAGGAAACTGGAGGCTAAAACATATGATGAATGGTTGCAGGAACCAGGTATTTCTAGTCTAATGAAGAGAAGGACTAGGGGTGACATGATAGCGGTGTTCAAATATTTGAGGGGCTGCCACAGAGAGGAGGGAGGCCCTCAACTATTCTCCAAAGCACCTTGGGGCAAGACAAGAAATAATTGATGGAAGCTTATCAAAGAGATATGTAACTTAGAATTAAGGAGAAATTTCTTGACAGTGAGAACAATAACTCATTGGAACAGCTTGCATCCAGAAGTTGTTTAAGTGTTGTATCACTAGAGGTTTTTAAGAACAGCCATTTGTCTGAAATGTTATAGGGTCTCCTGCTTGAGAAGGGGGTTGGTCTAGATCTAGAAGGCCTCCAAGGTGCCTTGCAACTCTGTTATAAATGTGTCATTTATGATTTTGATGATTAGCCATGATAGATTACAGAAAGAAGAATGTGTTGTAGTTTTAGAGAAAGAGGTAAATTTATAATTATACTTGTAGCTGCTATAAAGATCAGAAGTCATGATTCTTATCTTCTTTTTAAAAACGTTTAAAAAGAAGATAATCTTTAAAACATGGTCAGTTTTGCTGGATAAATTAAAATTCCCAGTAACATGCAGAGTTTTCTTTGTGGTCTATTTCACAATATGCCCTCAATTAGCAGCAGATCACTCACCTGCAGTGCACTACTATGGGTCCAGCTCTTGGGACACCGTCTTGCATCCGGTTGATTTCATCTAGGAAGTTGAGAACTCCTCCAGGTTCACTGGGCACTCCGTGGTCTGGCCAGCTCAGGAACTGGTAATGCCAGATGTCTCTCACAGCCTCACCCTAATATGGGAATACAAAAGCACACCCTTATGTCTGTTTTTTTTTTTTCTTCTATTCTGTGCTGTTCCTGCTCTTCGGTCTTTCGGTGTAACCAAAAAACACACCCAGAAAGCTCCCGATATTGACAAGTTTTTTTTTTTCCTGCCAATCAGCCAGCCAGAAACTTCAGGAGGACAAAGAAGACTTCCTCTGCCCAAAGTCCCATTAAGGAACAGATGTTCCAGCCCTTGTATATTTGGACTCAATGCATGGGCTTAATAATGATTTATTTATTGCCATTAACCACGGGTTCATCTAATACTGTATCTCAAATGTTATACCAGGTTCTGTGTTAAAGCTTTGGACCAAATAAAGTGCCAAAGAGCAAAATAAATAAAAAAAGGGTGTCTTGAGATACATTTTCCCCAAAACTCTGGCAGAATATTCCTGCAAAAGGACAGTGCTTGCAATCTTGATGAAGTTGTTCCAAAGTGTTCTGAATGAAGCATGCTCGATTTTTAAACAACACTAGAAGATGCTAGGAAGAGGAATAAATGTTAAACATCCAGCTGGGATTTGTAACACTGAAAAATGGATCTTGCATTAAGCTGGAGGTGGAACCAAGGGAAAAATAATATTTTTCCCTGCTACCTTGTATTGTTCACTTGCATGCACAGATCAATTTTGCTTCATTTTTTTCTGACTTTTAAAATGATAGTTTTCTATTTTCCTCAAATGATATTCCTTATTTTCAAGGAAAATATTTAAATCGTTTTTAAAATATAGTTACAGGACTTTCATCACATGTATCATGCAGCTCTTTCATGAATACCATGCAGCTCATTAAGTGTTGAGTTTTTGATGCTCCCTGAAACTATTGTTTTCTTGCAGACATTTCATTATCAGTGTAGGTAATATCATCAATGAGAGAGGGAGAGTGGGGTTTGCTGGTTCTTTATATACAGCAGGTTTCCTTCTTAATGGCTCCTTCATTAGAGGACAGTCCTCTGCTGCTGTTTCCTGCTTCTCTAGGTGTTAGCTGCTGGAGGGGATGTGGTCTAGACTGAACTGTCACCCCTCTATTACATTGTCTTGCCCAGTTGTAAGGTGATAAACGCAAAACTCCCCATCTGTGCATTGCCTGTTTCTGCACTTACATACACCTTCTTGTTAACCTGCCCATTTGATTTCCACCTGCTTCTTTATGCATCCAAAGAACCCACAAAATGAGCAGATTCAGTCAGCAATGGCTGAAGAAGATACGCTTTCTTTAGATCTTTACATTTTCATGTTCTCTTTAATATAATTCTCCAGTGAGGAAAAGCAGGGCACTTGGCCCCAGTGAGGCTGCTTGGAGTTCTACTCCATTGTCCAGTTGGACTGAAAGGAATTATGCCTCCCATCAGAGCAGAGTTTTTTTTTTTTCCTTTGTGGTGGTGTTCTTTTTTATTGAAAAGTTACTAAGGTTGGGAGAAAGATGAGACATAGGAGTATTATTTCTCTCCTCAGCAGTGACTTCCCTTTCACATTCGTCTCAGCATATGATATGGCAGTGGATGCCATGTTACACTATAGACGAACTAATTCTGCTACTGGGGTTTAAGGAGAAAAAGGTGGCTTCCCAGGAGATGCTGCTTCTGCCCAAAATGAAGCCTTTTCATCCCTCTGTTGATATAGCTTCAACCTGGAAATAAGGAGAAATTTTCTGACAGTGAGAAACAGTGATGGGATTCAAATTTTTTTTACTACCGGTTCTGCGGGTGTGGCTTGCTGGGCGTATCATGGCTTGGTGAGCGTGGCAGGGGAAGGATACTGCAAAATCCCCATTCCCTCCCCACCCCACTAACCTGCTGTTAGCCTTCCAGATCTTCTACTATTGCTTTGCATCTTTTGGCTGCCATAAGTAATGGGGGGAGGAGGGGGTAAAGTCTGGGAAGCGAGCTGGAGGTGCTACATTCTAGTGTTGTAAAAATGAGGAGGGGGGGAGTATAAATTCCTGTTTAGGTTTCTATTTCTCGCTTAGCTTTCTTTTCTCTGCGTAGCTGCAAACCTTTATCAAAATATGCCAAGGTCAACGGACAGAGGCCTCATCACCACCTGAAGATGTCCACATGATCATATTCACAACTTTTAATTGGAAGAATCATTTGAACTATTGGGGGTGGGAACATTTCCATCACTTTGCATATGTGATTTGCGCGCCTAATTTCTCAGATTCAGAATTCTATGGTTGCTACTTCATATTCAGTAAAAGATATCTTTTCTCTAATCTAAGGAGTCTAAGTATTTCTTTCTTGAATTCCGAATGGAGCACCATCTGACACCTGCTTTCCAGCTCCATTCTTCTTTGCAGGGCAACAAAAAAAGACCCAGCCAATCAGCTGGAACTCGGGCGGCAGAGAATAGATGGGGGCAGAGCCAGTCAGAGGTGGTATTTGCCGGTTCTGCAAACTACTCAAAATTTCAGCTATCGGTTCTCCAGAACTGATTAGAACCTACTGAATACCACCTCTGGTGAGAACAATCAACCAATGGATCAGCTTGCCTTTGGAAGTTGTGAGAGTTTCATCATTTGAGACTTTCAAGAAGAGACTGGACTGCCATCTGTCAAAAATGGTGTAGGGTCTGCTTGGGTGGACGGTTGGACTTGATGATCTACAAGGTCCCTTCCAACTCTGTTAATCTGTAAAACTCTGTAGCTAAGAGTTCTTCCAGATGACCTATTAGGGATGTGGGTATAGCTTCCTGGGCTATGTCTCCGTTCTTCTGAGCTGCTGTCTACATTAGGATCCACCATAACCCAAACCCTAGCAAATATCTGTCAGTATATTCGGCCCTTGCAAACAGGTGGGGGTGGGGGGAGGGAAGGAAGGAAGGAAGGAAACAAACCTCTAGGAAAGTTTGCACTGAGATACCAAACACCATTGAGAATGAATGCTTTCAATCAATGGCTGGAAGAAGATCAAGAGATGTCCATTCAGCCAAGGTCTTTTGTGTGAAATCATCATCAAAAGGACTCCTATTCAGACTAGCTCAAAGGATGGCAGACCAAACTTGTGGGGGGAAACAGTATTATAATGCTCCTTTTCATTTGTTAATTCCCACCACGGTTTGAAGTCAAAGTTGGATGGGTGAGGGAAATGCTCTAAGTCTTCAGGTACTCACATCATTGATTGGTGAAAGCCGAAGTTGTCGGAGTTTATAGTCTATCGCCTCACGATCTCCAACATTTTCCACAATATATGGTCCGTACTCTTTGCTGCTTCCTACTTCTGGCCAGTAGGGGACACATTTATTCTATTAGGAAACCAGAAAAAGGTAAGGGAGAGGGACTGAAAGAGCGCCATTGGAACTTTATTTAAATTTAGATCTTTGTTCAAAGCAGTTAAACAGGTTTACTGGTTTCTCCTTAAGTGCAACCTTGAAGCCGTTTTTAGGGTAGCCAAAGTGATTTTAGTGGAAGTCCAGTTCAATGTTAAGGAAGAATTATGATGAAGCATATCTCTGTCCTGCTTGGTCTTCTCCCTGAATTTCTCTCATCAGTACAGATTCTTTATGCTGAGCTAATATTTTTGGAAATTAGCAACATCTCCCACCCTCCCTCCATCCCTACCCCTCTCTCTCCCTCTCTTTTCTTTCTCTGTCTATCTCTCTATCTCTACATCCATCCATGTCTATCTATCTATCTATCTATCTATCTATCTATCTATCTATCTACTTACTTACCCGTCCTTTTTCCACTTCCCGAGTGGTCATCACAATGATGCGTGAATTTTCTTGCCATATCATCTGCCAGAAATCATTAACGGTGGCATCCAGGCAACCTTGGCTGGCAATATAGGTTTTACTGCATTCCTCTGGACTGAACAGTTCATTCTGCCAAGAAATAAAGAGATGAGATTTAAAAAACCTCAAGAAATAAATTCCCATCCCTTCTTTTCTCCAGATATTATAGGGTAAACTAATCCTCACCTTGATGTAGTTGGCATTGATATAATCTGATCCAGGCACATTCACATCTCTGTCTTGAAGAATAACTCTGGAGTGGTCAACTGGAACATCAGACAAGCAACATGTCACTGAAGAATCACACCGTTTGTGAAAGGGACTTTAGTAAATTTTTTAGATACAAATGGCAGGAGACAGCTTTTATGTCCTATGACCCATTTGAAGCATCTGAAAACACAGTGCTGAAATTCTTATTTCCAAAATAGCACTGGCAAATACTCTGACCTCAATAACACTTAGAATGCAAGATTTTGTTATTCCGTTCCTCTACTTCTTTCATTTCAAGGAGATTCTAACATCGTGTAGAAAAGACCAGAGGTAATGTGTCTTTCCTTCTCCATCCAGGGAAGGAGAGAGGATAGAAAAAAAAGCCCTCAGCAGGCAGCCTGTGTCCTGACTCAGCAGTGAGCAAAAAGAACAGCAGTTAAGCAAAGCTGGTATACCAAAGAAAGCCACTGTAGCCACAAGACTCTGATGACTTCACAGCTGAAGAGGTGGGGAGGAAACTGGAGAACCATAGTCCTGGGAAGGAGAGACTGGCAGGAGTTACTCTCATGAGAAATAGGTTACTCACCAACCCCATGGAAGAAACTCAAAGTGCTCGAATTGTGTTATTTCTCCTCCCTCTCTAGTTTTAGTCACATTCCATTACTTTCTCCCATTTATCTTAACATTAGTTTATTTTAGATTTTAATATATAGTCTTAGATTTAATAGATAGATAGATAGATAGATAGATAGATAGATAGATAGATAGATA